TCGTGTGTGTGTGTGTGTGTGTGTGTGTGTGTGTGTGTGTGTGTGTGTGTGTGATCTTGATTATTATGTATATATTTTATAATATAAAATATATCTCTACTTGTTTTTTCACATACTTATTTTGCCCAAACACAACGTATACGCTCAATTACACTACTTTCCCTCATTATTGTCCTGCTGATTCTCTTCAACTTTCACTCTTTCTTTCTTTTTTTCTCTATCTCTTTCTCAGCATCGTCATTCTGTCTTATCTTTCGTATCGTGCAACCCTACTCATTGTAATATGGAAGACAATCGAAGTTTACAAAAGGCACCCACTTGTTCGCGCGATCGGGTGACCGTCATCGCACTGGAAACGGCGTCGCTGTGTGAATTTTTTTTAAAGAGTATTTTCTAAAAAGAAAAAAATCTAACTATCGCTATATCTGATTGCTCTTTCTTCATATGTAGTTGATAAAATGAAAAAAAAGAAAACAGAAAGAAAAGATCCTAAAACTATTCTACAGTCTGTTTTAATGATACATTTATAAAAATTGTCAGGAATGAAATCTTTTGTTTTGGCAAAACCAAGATGGTATTCGTTTTAAAACAAGACGGCGCATGTGTTTAATACAACAATTATAGTTGCATACTGAAACGTTTCTCCCGTTATGCGAACATAAAACGAGCGTAATTGAAAATAATATTGTCATAAATTCACACAACCGGTCTTATTTACTCGCGACACGTTGAATATTTTCCGGGATCAATAAGAGTGACTGCGATGGAAGCGACAGTTACAATAAAATAAAATTCAATTAAAAAATGTAATTTTTTACGACCGCTTTTTTGGCGAACGGCGCCGTTTATAGTGCGTTAATTGATTTCACGCGTCTCTTTCTCTCATTCTCTCTCACTTTTACTCCCTCAAACACTCCCTCTCTTTCATTCTTTCACTCGCTCGCTGAAGTGCTTATTCTTGCCTCTCCTTTCACTCTCGAGACAACTTTCCCCACCCTTCCCTCCTCCGGAGAAGAAACTCGACAAAACGTAATCGTATATGTTATTTGGATATTGCAACATTTTACCTGCCCCGGAGATTTAGCGAAGCCGCTGTACTGGCAACTTGAAAATTGAACGGAAAGAGGTGGCAGACACGGGCAGTGGGTCTGTGAGGACCAGAAAACACAATAAGAAGATCTACCAAGTGAGATCAATAAACAACTTGCTCGTAGGAAAGTTACATTCTGGAATAAATTTACGCTTGGCATCCTCTATCGTTCAAGGTTCCATTCACAGATCCCCCTTTTTTGTCGTATCTTCCTCCAACCATTTTCATTTTCATGCCTAAACCAGCGGATGAGACTTCCGGGCTGATCTCACTTTTCTGCTAAAAAGTCATTCGCATTTTACGATAAAAATATGAGAAAGAAGAAGAAGAAAGAATATAAGATGATAAATATGTTGTCAATAATAATAATAATAATAATAATAATAATAATAATTAATAATAATAATAATAATAATAATATAATAATAATAATATGATAATATAATATGTAATAATATAGTAATATATTACAATAGCATGATATATATGAAGATTATGGTAATAATATATAAAAAGAGAAGAGGAAAGAACGCTAGTTCAGGGGTAATGAAATTTGACGTGTGTCTAGAATGCTTCTCAGGACATTAGACAATGACGGATAAGGGAAATCGCGTGACGCGAACGGCAATACCTTTTGCGTAAAAAAGAAAGAAGACGTTAATTCCAACAGAATCCACTGAGGAGAAGTTATCGCCCAAACTTCGAGTCAATTCCTCTGAAAACCTCTTCTTTATTCGGAGCGCGAGACTCGCCAAGAGTTCGCGTTCCTCTTCTTTACGGTTCGCGCGGCGACCGCTCTAGATCTTGAGGTTATCGAAATCACCCAGGCTGCTGCTGATCCTATTGAAGACCGGCAACCTGGACTCCGTGTTAGGTGACAATGGGGAGGGAGTTCTGGGTGTTACCTCATCGAGGGGACTGCATACACCATTATTGCGCGGGCTCGGGCTCTGTCTCGAGCAAGCGAGCAAACTGAAGTCCTGACCAAAGCTAAACGGTGTCGTCGGCAGATTTGAACATGAAGCCGTCTGCTGATTGCAATCGTCGTTAAAGAAGCCCGCCATGGAGTTCGTTGGTGACTGACTGAGGCTAGACGACGGGGAAACAGAATCGGCAGAGCTACCGAGCGAGAACGCCGGACTGAGGTTGAGCGGTTTCGGCTTTGTCGTCCCGATTACCGAGTTCACGGCATTCACCTGATGATGATGATGTACCGCGTGATGATGATTCGTAGCAAGGCTCAGTGACGACGTACGCAGCAACGGCGGTTGATTGAAGCCGTTCGTACCGGTACTGCCGAGGCTCAACGAATTCGTTCGCATGAGGCTTGACGTTGTGGCGGCGGCCGCCGCGGCTGCGGCTACGTGCGACGACGCGAGCTGCTCGAACAGACTGAAGTTGACACTGACATTATTGGCAGTGTTGTTCGTGGCGGTACCGTTGCTCGTTGCGGTTGCTATCGCGGCAGCCGTCGCGCTCATCAGCGGATTCAAACCCATTAGGCTGGGCTGCACCGAGCCCAGTTGGGCGCTCACTTTCTGATTGTGTATACGCGCTTCCTCGAAATTGTGAATGAAGTGGCATCGCGGTCCATACGGGCAGAAGCCGATCGTGTGGAAGGTGCGGCACAATTCGGTCTTGTACTTCGGATGGCGCGCCAAGTTGCGCAATTCGCCGTAACCATGCGCGAATTGGCATTTATCGCCATACTTACACGAGCCGCTCTCCTCATATGGCCGGCAGAGCTCCGTCTTGTAGCGCGACGTCGGCTCGCTCACGCTACGATCCAGTTTTCGATGTTGCTCGATCAACGTGGTCATCAGGGATGTGTAAGTGCGTTTCAGCGGCGCGTGTCCGTTGCCGACGTTATGGCCGCCGGCAGTGCCTGCATTCGTGGTGCTCGTCGTCGTTGGGGATGACGGCGGTTCCTTCGTCTTAGTCGAGGCCGCATTCTGCAATCAGAAAGGAAGGAGGCGTTCGGTTAATCAATACAGTACAATTCCAAAATTGCAGTTATTCACGCGCGACGACACCGCGATGATAGACGCGTTATCGTCGGGACGAAGTGCCGTGTAATTTGACGCTTGAAATGGCGGCGCGAATGATAACCAAGTCTTGGCGATTTCGCGACATCATCGTGGCGGCAGAGATAGCGTGTCGAGCGGATTGTCGCCGCTGGCACGAACGTTCGTTTCAATAGGGACCCGAACAATGCATCGTTTGCTAGAAAACGGAAGGTAGACATTGCGACAGTGACTTATGCAAGTGGCAGATGAACTTTGGAAAGATTCGAAAGTACCGAAAGTTTTATAATCATATCTAAATACAACGCACACTTTAGCTCGACTTTCATCTTTCATTTTTGAAGAGATATTTACATTCTACAATGCACATCAAAATTTGCGCTATCACGATTGATTAAATTAAATTAAGTTAGAAATGATATGGTGATTTGCTTAATGTAATAATATATAATATTAAATATAATATTGATTTTACATCATGACGATATAAAGCAATTTGTTGATCAATTAATCTATTACATAAGTCTATTATATGAACATCATCGTCGATAATTATATTTTAATATTAACATCGCTTGAGATTTAAATATTTTTTCAAGAAAAAGTAATTATTATCAAATTAAAGATTAATTTAAATTTATCAAAATTTAGAAATCACGATTAGCATTAATTGATTTATAAAAGCTGTCGCATATTGTTGTATGAAATATTTAATGATTTTTATAAAATAATATAAAATATCGGCAACAGTTTAAAATAACGAAAAACTTCATCGATAGTTCAACGCTCTAAAATGGATTTATATCAAAAGCCTCGAAAAAAATCTCATCAAGTCAATAATTAAGTTCTTATCTCTCCTTACTCATTGTAGCAGATAATAGAAAATAGAAACTAAATAGAACTAGATAACCGTAGTGTATCTCGAGTGATATCACTTCACTGCGATTGCGACATCTCGTTCTACAAAAAGTTTTTTTTTTTTATTTAACCCAGATCTCTCCTTCGGTCGTGTAAACAATATTTTCCTTAATTACTTCAACAAGAAAAATGAAGACAAATTGATAAGTATACGTTCTACAGCAAAATTAAAGAACAATAAATCTCTGAAAAATGAGTAGATGCGTTATTATTTTTCGAAATAAAGACTTTTAGTTTATCATTCTAAACGGAAATTGAATTTTTTTCTATCTTAAAATTCCTATAATATAGGAATTTTTCGAAACTTCATCTGGACTGGATATTTTTATTTTAAAGCAGAGTTGAATGAGAACATTACAAAAAGTGAAGTTTCTGCTGAATGTTAATAACGACCTCAAAGCATTTGTTTTTAGTTATCTTTTTCATAAGAGTATTATATTTCAAAGCTAAACAAATAATCTTGGAAAATTAAAAGAATTACAAAAGACTATTTATACTTAAGAGATAGATATTTTTTCCAAAATACTCAGTCAGTCTAATTCTGATATGACACGTTTTACTATTAAGAATAAATCAAGACATGCGTATCTAAAAGATATGAATATCACAATAGGGCGATTCATTCATTATCCTGTCGACTAATTTGAAACGGTCTTTCATAAAGATTGATGCGCACGAAAGAGCATCAATGAAATGCCTCGTAGCATCCTATTTCCCAGAATCACTAGTATAACTTTTCTTCTTAGTGACTGCAATTATTATTATCATCGAGCGACTATATGCTTCTAGAAATCATATTCGAGTGGGTCGCTCTGATTCATCGTACGAGACGTATCTCCTCGAAAAAGTAACATTATCATAAATTATGTGGCGCCGACTTTATATGCACGATTTTAAGGCGATTTTAATTCACATGATGCATTTTAAAAGCGTTATAAAGTCCTTGAAAATATAGAATTAGGAACTCTTGAAATAAAATCACATCATCAATTGAATTAGGTAAAAAATATCAAAGTAATAATCGTACATCACGCGTGGAAAATTTCAGAATATTATTATATGACCATCAGCATGAGTATTCATATGTTAATGATTTTTTTTAACATTTATGCAATGTTGCGAGCTGATGATACGATAAGTCACGTCAAGTGTAAGAGTACAATAATCACATGTAGTCTGACTAAAAAAATAACTTAAGCAAGACGTGACGCGTACAAAAACTATGTAGCGATAAATAACCGATCAAATATATCGACGAGGTGAGTCGACGTCAGAGCACCAAGATTCATAAATTTTTTAAGAGCTCTTTGTAAAAGAAATCTATTAAAAATACATATCTGCGTAGGAACGCACATTTTGCGTCACTTAATCGTGAATCATAGAGGAGTGTATCTTCCACGCCCCGTTTTTTTTTACAAATAATTATTTTACCGCGTATAATGTTAAATATTTTATTCGAACATAAATCTGCTTGAAGATAATATTGTAATTTAATCGAGCTTTTAATCTTTGCATATCGTATGATCGATAAGTTTACTGATTATCGAGATTTTATTATGAGAAGGGATCAGTGACTTTGACCACAATAATTATCCTACGTTTTAATGTAAAAATCAATGAAAACGAGATTTCAATAGGTCAAATCGCAAAACGAGCAACAACAAAGTCCAACATAACATGACTTTATATGTGATGAGATTTTATAATGTACTTTTTTCCCATGGAAGATTATCAGTTCCCTATATATATATATTAATTATGAATTAAAGTTTCAGACTTTTCTCAATATCGTTAGAAATACATATGTGCAGAAATTCATTATTCAATTAAAAAAAACAATTACACGATATCTTGTATAAAGAATGAAATACTCTTAGCATGTTATCGGTATTATCTATATTTTGCATTTTTCTCTTTATCATTCCGTTCAGATTTTGCTGTGTATATAATAAAACAATTTTATCATCAATAAACAATATACGTCGCGACAAGTTACGAGCAGACAATGAGAAATCGCTATCATCCAGCTTTCTTTCATTCCATTCTCGTCGGAGACGATATACGCGGCTAACTATCAGTTACGTGCTCAATGACGTAGATAAAGAAAAAAAAAACAACGTTTTCCCGAGCGTGAGATCGCACGCGGGAGGATTCACGAGAGTCTGGAAATTTCCACCGGCACGTGCGCATATGTGCCAGAGCGAATTTGTTTGTTTCATTTGCTATATGAGCGCAGAACGCACACATGCAGAGACTGCTCTTTCTCGTAATTATTCCCGCGTAGCTGCTGCTATGTAAAAGTGTGTGTTTATCATAAGCGCACGATCGCCGGTAATCATTCGCACGCACACGCGCGACTATTTTATCATTCACGCGTGTGCGCGTACGCGTGATTGCGAGTATGCATAAATCTTCGTGCCGCACACACACACACGCGTGCACATTGACAAGAACATATCGCGTATTTAATAGCAACGATTTACGCCTTCTCCGGAAGAATATCATCTATTTTTGACGTTCGTAATGATGTTAAAGCGGATTCATACTACGGACTTAGAGGGTCATTCGAAGATCGTGATTAAAAATAATAAAAAGCTCATATTCGATATATCGAACATATCAATTTATATTTATCGATTCGTATGTTAAATATATTAAAAGAACATTAAATTTTCTTTGGGAAAAATCAACGATTACATCACACACAAAAGAACTGTCATCCGCTTTCTACGATCGATGTGCTTCAAATATAATTACTTTTCTTAATAGTCTTAATAATTTAAAACTCTCATTGTGTTAAATTGAAAAGTCATCGGGAAATGATAATTTTTAATTCGTGACTCATATTGTTTTTGATATCTCGCTATGTCCTAGATAATTATGACAATCTAATCAAAAACTTTTACAAATTTTTAAGAATTTCGTTGAATCTATACATTTTCCAAAATAAAAAAATTTTTTGAAAAATAAACATATATTATAAACTACCGACTTTTTTCAGCAGAGTTTATTTAAATTTAACGACACATGACATATTTTAATTTTCATGCACAAAATGCATATTTACATTTTTCTAAAATAACAATAAGAGAGAAAGAAAGAAAAAAATAATAGTTTAAAAATTTTTTCCGGAAATAGATTCCGCCTATCGTATATATATACTTCTAAAACAGACCTTGGACTGTGTACGTTCCATCGCGCCTATGAGAGGAAGTACTGCCTATATCGGTAAGAGAAAAAATAAACTTGGATTTTCTTCATGGATGTTGCGATTCTATATGAAGCCGGCGACGTATGGTTACGAGCGGCATTTCTTCCACCGTCGATGAATCACCATAAGACACTAACTCGTTTCGTCATAGGAACATGTTTAGGAAGAGTGCAGACAGTGGAAGGAAGGAGGAGAAGGGCAAGAAATCGTGAGGCGAATTCTAGGGATGGAGAGGGAAGGAAAAGTATGGATGAGGGAGATAGAGCGGGAGAGAGGAGAGGGGGAGAGAGGAGAGAGGAGAGAGAAGAGAGGAGGGCGAGGGAGGAGAGAGAGAGAGAGAGAGAGAGAAGAAAGAAGGAGAGAGGATTTGTTTTTGAGAGAGAATGTATGAGAGCAAAAGGAAACGGAAGTCCGGAAGAAAGAAAGTGCGGAGTACAAAATGGTTAGATTAAGTTAAGGTTAAGAATGTATGCGTTTATAAGGTTAAGTATGTACGCGTATATATAAGTTAATTATTAAATATAGGATTAAGTTAGCGATAAGATATTATTGATGTATTTGAAAATGTAAGAGGACAATAAATCATATCTATGCTAACTCGATTTCGAAAAACCGTGGCATAAATTACGTTTTCATTTATTAGGAACTAAGCATATTCCGCGAATTTAACTTCTACGCACGTTCCGATACACGTGGCGCGCCCATTCATTTATTTCGCTGACGAAACACAAGGCATCGTTAAAAAGAAGTCTATTTTTAAACCCATCCTGAAATACGATTCATACGAAATAATAGAATA